GTGAACAAGGCGGCGCGTCCATGAACTCCGTGCTTCGCCTATAAAAGGGGTGTGAACGGTGACTCTTCACTTCACTACCCAAAACTCGCCGGAAAATTCGAATTCTCGCTAGAACACCACAAATTTTGACGGATTTTCCATTTTTCACCCATTTCTCCTCTCGTCAAAACCGGCATGTGCTGCGATTTTGGGGAGACCTCATACCAACATAAGTCTTCGTACCAACATCATATTAATAGCATACCAACAAAATTAATTAAGATCTACACAATAATATTCATTTTGTTATATTTTGTCAAACATGAGATGCATACCCACACATATCACTATCATATCATGATATGAATGAAAGTGATATGATTTCATCAAATTATTTTGACAAACATGAAACCTCATACCAACATCATATCAATATTATACTACTATCTTATTGGCATCATACCACTATGATATCATACCACTGTCAATGATATCGTGATATGACAGTGGTATGATGACGTAAAAAATTTAGCCCCAAAAAATATCAAAATGGAAATCGACTTGTAGAGCACAAAAAATATGATTTTTCTATGCAATTTTTTTTGAAATACAAAGTAAAACGAATGAGTTACGCCCCATTGGATTTTCTTTGGATATTTGAAAAAGTCCTTAACATCTGCCAAGAAATCCGCGCCAACCCCCAATATCGAGGTAGCTGCCACCAAAAGTCGGTTAGTCACTCTTCTATTTCCCAATTTTTCTCATTACCCCATACAATGATGGCCATTGAATATTTTCCCCCTCAATCTCAGACATTCTGATGTGATTTTCGGCTGCCAAAGTAGAAGAGACAACCTGGCTGAATTATACAATGCCCCAACCGGGGAATGAAGAGAGAGCAGACCCGGTAATTGGTCTAGAAGGACCCCCGACCGGGTATTTGGACCATTGTGGACCGCCTGGAAGACGCCGAAAGATGTCGGAGGTAAACAGACGGAGATGGAGGAAATTGGCAGGCGTTCAACGGGAGTGACACCTAAGGTAGGCTACAATCGCCTGGGTTTAGGTTTTGGGATGAACGCAACTAGTAATGGTAATGGGGCAGGGCGGGGCGGGTACCTTATTACTCATGCACCACCCTATACTACTACGGGTCGGGGCGGGACAAGTCGACCCACTCTTACATGTTATTTGAAAAAAAACACATGCAAATTTTACCTTTTACGACAAAACAAAGGAGAAAACACTTTATGAATGAAAAATAGTGATAATAGAATGAGTAACTACGTCTAACTAGTCGAAAGATCAACTCTAACTAGTTGAAGAAATGTCAAAATAGGAGAAATATGTATAGATATTGTAAGAAATTGAGGTAATTTGAGCCAAGAACAGGCGGGGCAGGATAGGGCGTGTCAGAAGTAACTACCCATGTCCCGACCCACGCTAGTGCGGATCGGGTAATACATGCCCCATCGCAAGTTAGGTCGGCTAATACCCGCGGGTCGGGGTCAAATCGCAATCACTAAACGCAGTCGATGGCGGAGACCGCTGTCGGGAGATGAAGAGACGGAACGCAACCGAAGGGACGACCAGAGAAAGAAGATTGACGATTACGTTGAGAGAGAAACTGTTCGGCTGGGAGGGAGAAAAAAAGATGAGACTTGGGTTTATATATTATTAGGTTGATTATTTGAGTTTTTATATTATTTATAATTCACTAAATATCCTTAACAACTAATTAACTAATAACTTCTCAATAGCTATCTAAAAGCACAACCGCCAATTACTATACTTTAAGATCCTCTTTAAGAAAGAGGGTTTAAGGATTTGAACTTAGGCTGAGGTCGTATAGAACAAGTTCAAAGGATGAAAACCAATATTGTCGAAACCGAACCGGAGTATGACCCGGTATTGTGAGCGACTTGTACTTTATTGGCTTAACCAATATTATACCGTTAAAAAACCGTTAACGAACTGATACCTTGTAAACAAGAATATTATAAGTACTAAGCAGATAAAAATACACTACACTATAAATTCAATATAGAATTCATTACTATTAATAAATTTAAAACTTGACTATTAAAGTTCCAAAGTTCAAACATGAACCACATTGTTTTCAAAATAAAAGCAATGAAATAAAAGTCTAAGCGAAAAATCCAACATTTAGAATTCTACCCATAACCCACCAAGCATTCTGAAAATGTTAACATCTTAACATTATGGAAAGAAAACCATTATAAAAAAACATCATGGAAAGAAACTCAATTTGTCCATATAAAACAAAATAAAAATAAAAATGAATAATAAGTTCCAACCGAGAGATACAGATGGCATTGGGAAGGACTATTTTCAACTTTCTCCCTTCTCATAATTCCCAAGGCCTCGCATGCAGTATAAATCTATCCCATGGAATTTAGATATGGTGCACCACTTGGATTTTGGAGAATGATTCTCCATCTTACATCCAATGATCCATAAAAATGGGTCATTAAATTAATGGTCAAGATTTATTGGTAAAAAGTAGTAGTGGAGAGTGAGGTCAGCAACTGAAAAAGAGCTGACAAAAAACTGCTTTTTTTGGGCCCACGGACTAAAAAGGAGCTGACACAAGATAGAGCAGAGAATGCAAGTTCTTGAAAATGCTGAATATGATTTCTGTTTTGTACAAATATGTTTTCTGATCAGTAGCAATATGTTTTATATTTAGTAAGAATATGGTTTTTAATGCGTGGTATATTATTTTGAATAAGAGTTGTGAAAATTACGAATATAGAAATCACATACATGGAATATGTTTTCTATTCAATGCAAATATCATATTTTGTTTAATACGAATATGATATTCTAATGTGTATATTTGTTCAGTACAAATATAACTTTTTCTCAGTACAAATATGTATTTTGTTCAATACACATATGTATTTTGTTCGATACAAATATGATTTTAGTTCAACAAGAATATACATATACCACTTGTAAATAGTATGTATAATTTTTATTTTGTTAAAAATAAATGGCCCAAATGTCGGCTACTTTTTCAGGTCGTGGGCCCCATAATCCACTATCTATTGCTCTAATAGATCTGAGTCTTTAATTTAAAAGAGCACTTTTGTGGGCCATTGGATGGAATGGAGAACCATTCTCCAATATTCAAGTGGTGCACCATATCCTGGTTGATAGTGATTGAATTTATTTTTTAATATAAAACCTAATCCTAGCTAAAAAGAATATCACTGTGCGCACAAAACAAAAAGAGGTCAAAGGCCTATTTTCTGGGGAAACGAGGAGACAATGCAACGTCTAAATCCCGATGTGCTTATCGGACGCCGTGCTAATCTCTTAATAAAGGGTTGTACAGCTAATAACCGGCTGACCGGGTTGAACGGTTTTGACGGTTAACAGTTCAAACCGTCAGCTAGCCGGCCATTCGAACCGCAACGTTTTTTTAAGTGTTCCGAGCTGAATTGGTGGCCTGGTCCTGGTTCGGCTCAACTTTGATAACATTGATGAAAACTAAAGAAAGTTATCAAAAAGGCCTCATGCATATTTAATAGGGACTGTGGTATAGACGATGGTTGAGATTATGTTTTTTAGCCCATGTTTTCACCCTGTGTTGCCGTTAAGAGGAGAGCTTCATTTTTCAAGGCGCGCCATTTCTAAGGAGGGAGTGCAAATTGGAACTGCTACAGGGAGGAAAATCCATTAAGAAGCCCACAAAATCATCCAAAAGCAAGGAAACATGAGCAAATCTTAGAGAAGCAGTTGGTTCCAAGATTTGTGTTTTCTTATTTCTCCTGACTGTGTACTTTCTCTCCCTCCTTGAACTCAATTCTTAGAGTTGGCGAGATGTAAAAAAGATCTTAGATGGTTGTTAGGGTTTGTATGCTTAAATTGTTGAAATCTTTAGGGTTAATACCTTAGTTTGGCCTGAACTATACACATACTTTCTACTTTGGCCCGAATTATTGAATATTGCTACTATGGCCTGAACTATGTAGCAAACTTCCTCATATGGCCTGGAGGCGCGTTTGACCGTCAAAACAGACGGTCAACCAAGTTGACCGTTAGTCAATATACACATCAGCTGCCACGTATACATTAAAAATTATATTTTTTTTACAAAAAATAAAAAATAAATTAATAACTCTAAAATAAAAAAGGAATGGAAAATAAAATAAAAAAAAATAAAATAAAAAAAACCCATCCCTATCTTCCCCATCGATTCGTATCGGGAATTACCTCCCCCCTCTCAGACCCATCGTCTACCCCCAACTCCCTTCCCCGACGAATTCTGGGCGATTCTCGAAGATTCTCCGGCAAATGCAGCGGCGGCCGGTCGGTGAAAGACGCCGCCGTCGCTGATTCGCCGGACTCCTTCCCCGACTCCTCCTTCTCCCTTCCCCTTCGATTCGCCCCGACTCCTCCTTCTCCCTTCCCCTTCGATTCACCTTTTTTTCTTCTAACCCAGAACCCTAACCCAGACCCTCTTCTTCTTCGATTCGCCCCGACTCCTCCTTCTCCCTTCCCCTTCGATTCACCTTTTTTTCTTCTAACCCAGAACCCTAACCCAGACCCTCTTCTTCTTCGATTCGCCCCGACTCCTCCTTCTCCCTTCCCCTTCGATTCACCTTTTTTTCTTCTAACCCAGAACCCTAACCCAGACCCTCTTCTTCTTCTCGTTGTCGAGGCGCAGCACTCCAGAAGGAGAAAAGTCCTTCCCCACCTATCTCTCTCTTCTCCAAAACAGCCCCTTTCCCAAAAGTCGCTTTCCAGAACAGCCCCTTTCCCACCCATCGATCTTTTCTCCAAAGAAGATTAAAGCGAAGCTGTCGACAGAATCGGGACCACAGTGGGAAAGCAAATTTCTGGACCACTAGGTAAGCAATCAATCTCTCTCTTCATAAACAATAGAATCCAAGAATCTGGATTTGGCCATATGTGGAATACTGTGTAGTGGAGATTAAACAATAGTTGTTGATTTGTCTTTGTCTTTATTTTTTGAATTGTGTACATGTAGGATGGACGACGTGATTACGCTTATTTTGGTTCATGGAGGTGCTATGGACATGTCTGGTGTGGTTCCGCAGTATGTTGGTGGTGTGGAAGACGTCATCGACATTCATCGTGATGTCGTGTCTTACTTTGAGATTACGAAGACCCTTATTGAAGATTTGTCCTATCTATCGGTTGAAAGGGTTTGGTACTTGACCCCGGGGGAAGACATGGCTACTGGATTGCACGAAGTTCACTCTGATGTGGAAGTCATGACCTTACTTACAGATGCCGAGAAAGGAGATTTGAGGGTCTACTTCGAGGCAACTAAAGACATTGGTGAGTTTGGCTATATGGGTGACAACTATGGTCATGATCCTCAAGGATCGGAAGAGGATGGTGAGCAGTCGGCTGTGCCTGAGATTCTGCGAGTGGAGGAGAGTGATGATGCTCAAACATCTGACGAGGAGTACCACGAAATTATGAAGACAGTTCGACAACGGAGGCAGCATTTTAGAGCACAGTATGTGGAATCGGGGGACGAGGTTGATCAGGTGTTGCGTGAGGATGATGGTCAGAGTTTGGCTGGTGACAATGATGAGGTAGATGGTGAAGTTGCAGCAGATGATGAAGTTGCAGCAAATGCTGAAGTTGCAGATGATGAAGGGGTAACAAATGCTGAAGTTGCACATGATGAAGGGGTAGCAAATGCTGAAGTTGCACATGATGAAGGGGTAGCAGATGATGAAGGTGGTGATGCAAATGATGAATGCTCGATGGAAACTGAGTACAGGGCATCTGAGGAATCTGCTCATGTTCGAGGTGATATTGGTGAAGAGGTTAACTCATTTATTTTTGACAAGAGCTTGTTCTATGATCCGAAGTGTGATCATAGAACATTGAATTTCAAGCCTCGTATGCGTTTCACTAGTCCTGGGCAGTTTAAAGAAGCTGTAATCAGCAATGCGATTTATAATGGAGCAGACATTAGATGGGCAAGGAGTAGTGGAGTGAGAAAGGAAGCTGTATGTGCAAATAGGAAAGAATATCAGTGTGGTTGGAGGGTGTATGCGAGTTGGTGGCGCAAAAACGAATGCTTTATGGTGAAAGGAGTTGGTGAAGCTCATAGCTGCCCCCGGTCTCTTCGGATCCGTGCAGCTGGTTACAAGTGGATGGCCAAAGAATATCTGGAAACATTTAGGGTCAATCAAGCGTGGGATGTTGGGCTAATAGCAAACGAGGTGAAGCGCAAGTTCAACCTGATTGTATCAACTGCTACTTGCTACCGAGCCAGGTTGGAAGCTCGTCGGCTGCTGTATGGGTCTCTTGAAGAAGACTTTCACCAAATTAGGGACTACATAGGCCATCTTATAAAAGTGGACCCTCAAGGCAAATTCCTTTTGGAAGTGGATATTGAGCCTGGTGAAGACAAGGTCTTTTTCAAAAGACTCTACGTTGGCTTTTCGAGTTTGTGTAAAGGGTTCATAGCGGAATGTCGACCTTTCTTTTGCCTCGACGGCTGTTTCCTAAAAGGAGAGGTGCAAGGCATGCTACTGTCGGCTGTTGGGAAGGACGGGAACAACCACATGTTCCCAATCGCTTGGGCGGTTGTGGAATCAGAAAACAAAAGTTCGTGGATATGGTTTGTAAGCGCATTGCAAGAGCAGCTTGGGACACTCGATGGAAAGGGCTTCACAATTGTGTCAGACCAACAGAAGGTATTTTACTTTTGCTGGTGAAAAGGGTTGATTTTACATTTTTTATTTCTACCAAGTTGTAACTTTTAGATATGTTCCACTTTAAATGCAGGGGCTTGTGGAGGCGCTCCAAACATGCTTGCCAATGGCAGAGCACAGGAAATGTGCTCGCCATATTCACTCCCATTTCCGAGAGAAGCATAAGACAGCATTAGCAACTGACCTCTACTGGGAAGCTGTATATTCGTTGAATGAGCCTGATTGGAGGTCTGCGGTGCTGCGAATGCGTGAGCTAGGAGGTTCTGAATATAGAGATTTCATGAATTTTGAACCAGAGCACTTCTGTCGGGTTTTTATGAAGTCTTTCTCCAAAAGCGATTCAGTTGAGAGCAACATATGTGAATCCTTCAACAATTGGATATTGCGGTTCAGGTCACTGAGAGTTATTGCAATGCTGGAGGGGATTCGTGTCTCAGTTATGACTCGGCTGGTGAAAAACAAAAAGAAGATGAGTCGGTGGAAGGATAGCTTCCCTCCAGTTGTGCGAGGAAAGTTAGAGAAGGCCAAAGACGATGCCAGAATGTGCACTTCCCGTCCTTCTTCAGAAACCATGTTCGAGGTATCTCACGATGGGAAGGGATTTGTGGTGGACTTGAAGGAACATACGTGCAACTGTGGGTGGTGGGCACACGAGTTCCAGCCAGCACACGAGTTAATGACCAAGCTGGAAATGACACTGAGGTAACGAATTCAAAATGTCACTTTCATTGTGTTTGCAAAGTGGAAATTGACAATATTTGGTGATAACAGGCACCAAGAATAAGGAAGAAAGGACGTTGCTCTAAGTGTGGATCCGAGCACCATAATGCAAGGACTTGTCCAATGAATTTTGGAATTCAGGTACATGTTTCTCACCTCAGTGAACAATTACACGAATTATGTTGAATGGTTGGAGAGTAATGAATTATGCTGTCAATTATGGGTGGATGGATGCGTAGGCTCCTCATGTAGGTTCCCAAAGTAGACGTGTGACTGATCGAGAAATGCAAAGGGCTATGCAAGGGATAGGAACATATATTGATGAGAATACAGGGAACATGTACGCTAGGGTATGTCCTGCTCATTCGTGGTTGACATGTTTTAAAGTTAAGTTGTTATGATTTCTGAACTAATGCAGTAATTCTTGTTTTGCAGCTTAGCGCCCGCGTTCCAGGTCCTCGTGGTGCACAACAAACTGAACCGGATCAGCCTCCTTTGAATAGCACACAGCCTCCGACGACTCAACCGGAGACACCTTAATGTGTAGTAGTTTCGTAGTGTAGTTTCGTAGTGTGTTTAGAGTGTTTCGTAGTGTGTAGAACACTTCTTTTTGGCTTGACTCCTTATGTTTCTGATCATAGTCCTGAGGTCCGAGTTGGAGTCATAGGAATTAAATTAGCTCCCCCTTTTGTACATGCTCTCGATAGCAGGAGCTAATGTGACTGTAAAACATCATTTTGCAACATTCGTATTAATGTCACTATGAAGGAGCTAATGTTTTCGTTTAACATCTTTGCGGATTATGGGTACACACTTGTTCTGCACAAAGGTTTACTAACAGGAGGTTGCTTATTCTTCAACAAACACACACACAGTAAGCTTACAATCACAAACAAGAATTTGCTTGCAAATGAACCCACAATCCTCACTCACAATTGAACTAACACCATTACAATAAGGGCTATGGCTACAAAGACAGCACACACAATCATTCGACTTTGTAGTGCACATATTGCTTTTCTCATACTTTGCAATTCCATAAAACTAGCTGCACTAATCTCAGTGACCTTCTTCAAATCCTCTAGCATCGCCAATTTCTCTTGTTTCCTCCTATTTGCCTTCTCTTCTGCCTTACGAAGCCGCCCTTCAAGTGCCTCCATTTTCAATTTCAGATGCTCATTTTCCTCCATTATTCCATACTCAGATGTACCATCGACCCAACAAAAGAAACGACAATCTTCCTTTACATCTTTCCAAAACGGGCAGGAATAGAACTTCCTTCCCGGATTATCCTCTGTGCGAGAGGTGTTCACAACGCAGGGAGCATTGTGGCCTTGGCATCTTACCTTCGCTGTGTTCGACGAACCGGAAGCGGAAGAGGCAGAAGCTTGGTTGCTGACCCTACCAGCTCGCCTCGACATTGTTGCTGGAGGCCGCGATTTTAATTCTCGGCGAGGGAACTGGGTGGAAGAAAGGAGGCCGCGATTTTAGCTCTCGGCGGCGGGGGCTCGTCGGAGAAGGGATAGGGTTTCGGAGGAAGAAACTGGTTCGGAGAAGGGATAGGGTTTCCCGATTTTGGGTGAGAGGGGGAGAGAGAGAGGAGGGTATAAATGGTGGCTGTGGGTTTTTTTTTATTTTATTTTATTTTCTTTTATTTTCCGTTCCTTTTTTATTTTAGAGTTATTATTTTATTTTTTATTTTTTGTAAAAAAAAATATAATTTTTAATGTATACGTGGCAGCTGATGTGTATATTGACTAACGGTCAACTTGGTTGACCGTCTGTTTTGACGGTCAAACGCGCCTCCAGGCCATATGAGGAAGTTTGCTACATAGTTCAGGCCATAGTAGCAATATTCAATAATTCGGGCCAAAGTAGAAAGTATGTGTATAGTTCGGGCCAAACTAAGGTATTAACCCAAATCTTTATGGTACCTGTCACTTTATATCTACGTTAACTTTGAGGTTTTGCACAAGTTTTTATAAAATTTGCATGATTTTGGTTTCAAATTATCCAGGGAGAAAACCCTGAATTTCTAGGTTAGAACACCCTAGATTGGAGAGGGTTGGTTGGGTTGCTAGACAATGAACTGCAAGATCCCTACAGATGGAGGTTGACTCAACTTGGGAACTAAAGATACAATTAATGCATTGGCAAAATGAAAGGGATTTTGTGACATGATGTTTCTCTACTTACTAGATAGGATTATATATGCATGCAACATAAAAAGTTAACAAGGGTTTAACTAGGGGCTTTCTACTGAGTGATAGGATAGTCCAGTCGGTATTAATGTATTCTACCTTATAAAACGTTGAAAATGTGAGATAAAATCTAGTGTGACACTTTCTCACTTGAATAAAAACTCAACTACTTACTTGTTTGTTTGTGTTTATTTTCTTTCATTTTTAGTGATTAAGACCCAGAAGGGCTTCGTGGAACCCAATTGCCCCACTATAGTAGATGAAGACCCAAAAGGGCATCGTGTCACCCAATTGCCCCAATATCTCTCTAATCTGGCAAGGGAGGAGTAGAGCCTCATAGACTACTTCTGCCTACATAAATTATTAGAGTATGTATAAGTAGTATTATGTCATATTACTACTTATACATACTCTAATATAAACAACCTTTTCAAGCATATGGAGTTGGGCCAATCTCCCCACACCCTTCCCACTGACTTAAGCAGGCATGGCCACTGCTACGAGGAAGAAAAAGAAAATCAATTTATGAACATGAGAGCAATTCAAATTGCATTATTCCACCAAGAAGTAATTTTTTTAGTGAGGTTGAAATGGCCCTAAAACAAAATATTTGTAAATTATGTTGGCATACGGAAGTTGAGGACGAAATTGTTTTGATCATCTTGGGAAGATATTTAAATGCCTAATTTGGATATATCTTTGAATGTTGAGGCATATATAACCGTATCATGCTTTGTTATAGTTACAATGTCACCGGCCATCCTGTTTAAAATTTAGTGACATTTTTTTATGCTAGTCGGCCAAAAGCGTAGCCTGAAAACTTATTGTTTATAAATATTTGGTTCAACATAAATCTAGCAATTAAAAAATGTTTGAAAGAAAGAAAGGAAGCAATGATGAGTTCAGACGCACGGTAGATACAAATCATGATGATAATGAGAATTCTCCTCCTTCCCTTTTCCCAATATTATTCCCATTGCTTACTTTACGTTGATGATGGTCTCCTCCATCCAATGAGTGTGAAGATGAAGGAATCGCAGTGTGATCAATGGAGGAATTGGTTCTGGACAAGCCATAGGAGCTCATTGTCCTGGGGTGATAAGCCGAAACTTTCCTCCCTTTCCCATCAAAGATGACATCCATGTCGTCTTCTTGATCCGGAACCTTGCATTTCTCCCCTAATATAATGGTCTTCATCCACACCGAATCCTCGTTCCTCATCTTCTCCCTCTTGATCTTCCTCTCCTCTCGATCCTGCTTCTTCGCCTCCGACACACTCCTCTTAAGATTCATGCTCATCGCTTTCGTCAGATTCTTCCTGGAAATGGACGTTGTTGCCACGAAGTTGTTGCACGAGTACGTCGCCCTCAGTTGCTTCGATGGCGGTAAAGGCAATGCGCTCCCATGGGAGCTCCCTTCTTCGTCTAAATCTCTACATTTTTCTTGCTTTCCACCCCCTTCTGACGTTTCCGAATTTTCATCTTCCGCTACTTTTGTCGAACTGGGTGACATCGATGACGATTTGGATTCCAATTTTCTCTCGACGCCATACCCGCACAGGGTCGTGGAAATGGCGATCACGGCAGCCATCCCTGCAATGAAGAGAGACACAGAAAAAACTGGATGTGTGGATTCAAGATTATAACGATCATTAGTTGAAGGGATTCTCCTTCCCATTACTCACAACAACATAGATGATTTTATTACAACATCTGTTGAAATAGTCTATTTCTTAATGGGGGAAAATAATTTGTATAAGTGGAATCGAAAAGGAGAAGATGAGAGATCTCGAGAATATGTTTCGAAAAAACAAATTGATGATTGGGTGCTTTTGTTTTTTTTTTTTGGTAGAAAGGGTGTTTTTGTTTGTTAACCGTCTTTTGGAAGAAAATTCAATTGCTTGAATTGGGAGAAGGTAAGAAAATTGGATCTTTTGCAAAACATCCTATTCTCGATTCCTATGAATGTTCCAATCATTTGGTTGTGGAAAACAACTCGTTATGATTAGTAAGAGGGAAATTGCCTTATTTTCCCAATTAAGAATTTTAGGTTGGTTAATTTTAAGATGGTTAATTCGGTAAC